AATTCGACCTCATCTCAACTGATGTGATGATGGGTATGAGTGGTGGTGGTAATGAAATACAATAAGCCAAGGAATCCAACCATGCCTATGTGATTGACCCCTTTCTCTATTCAACAAATTTGGAGACTCTCAATTACTTCAAGGTTTAGGTGGGGGACCCTTCTCACTCCCCGTGGCTGGCTGTCCACTACTGGAGTAGTACTGTCAATAAGGGTCATTTTTTTACTATTCTTTTCTTTTTAGAAAATGTTTGAGATTTAAAAAAAAAAAAAAAAAAACTCTTCAAAACCAATGATGTATCATGATAGGTATCAACTTTTGATTGGTTTCATACTCAACGATTGAGAGTTCAATTCTCTTGCTGCATTATTATAGGTGAATTTATGAGTCAAACCATTACTTTTTTCTTCTCTTTTTTTTTTGAGGGGGGAGGCGAATCAAGATCCCCTCCTTATATTCCCTCCTTACATTTCCTACTTGCAAGCTCATTAGGCCCACTTTTAGGCCCAATTTTGATAATTCGAATCGTTCATATTTTAAGATTTGTTCAGTATATCATACCTGTAAAAAATCAAGTTGATCGGATATCAGAAAGTATGTGTTTGGAAAACTCAAACTAAAAACTATTTTTTTAAAGAATTTAATAAACTTCTTTTCGAACACATGCTTTCTGATATCCGATCAACTTAATTTTTTACAGGTATGATATACTGAACAAATCTTAAAATATGAACTGTTCAGATTATCAAAATTGAGCCTAAAAGTAGGCCTAATGAGCTTGTAAGTAGAAAATGCAAAGAGAAAATACAAGGAACGGATCCTGACTCCAGGGAGGCGGCATAGAGAAGAGGCCAAATAGCTTACTGGCATTTGGATTATTTTCACCAACTCAACGTCAAACCATCAACCCTACAGGCCCATCATCATCAGTACTCTATTTCTATGGCTTGTATTACCTTGATATCAGACTCCATAATTGGATTCAAATGTGGGTCAGAGACATATATCATCTTTTGTCCATATATACATATTTTTAAAGGTCACTTTTTTCTTTTCTTTTCTTTTCTTAATCTATATTTCACCTATATATCCATTGTAATCCCAATGATTCTAATTACTAAACAATTGCAATATGCTAGCTATTCTTTCTCCCCTCAAGTTTTGGAACGCTACAAATCTTCTTGTCCAATATGTTGCTGTGTTTGCTATATGTGTAATTTGGTAATTTGGATGTATATAATAATAATCGTACTGGATTTTTGTCGTTAACATTTTAAAATTTTAAAACTTAGCATATGTTTGGGAATTTGACACTTTTAGTGATTTTTTGATTTTTTAACTTTTTGATTAAATGAAAGAAGTTAATGTAGTAATTTTTTAGTTGAATAAATAGTGATTTTTTTTAGATGGGTTGCTAAATATAGATAGTTGTAAAAGAAAAATGATTGGTTAATACGTATAATGTGACATTTGCTCTTTTGTTGATTTTTTGTGGCTTTTGGGTATTTTGGCCAACAAAACTTTCATCAAATGGGGCCTTAGTCATTATGGGTATTTTGGTTATCCAGATTTGGGTGATACACTGAAAAGGTCACATTTTTAATTTTTAATTTTTTGTGATTTTTTTGGGTCAAAATTATGTCAATTTTTTTTTTTTTTTTTCCGGTCCATCTTGTATGAACCAATCTAAAATGTACAAAAAGCAAAAAATCCAAAAACAAAATAACACCAAAAGAAATCAACAATTTTTTACTCTTTTTTTTTCAAATTTTTTATATTTTTCATTTTGCATTTGTCTAGTCGAGTGATACTTAAAAGTCTAAATTTTTTTTAAAAAAATCACTAAATGAAAAACCAAAATATAATCACTAGGGAAGTAAATCCCAAACACTGAATGGATCATGTGACAATTTTATTATGAAACTTGCTACCAAAAATTCTTAATATTTACAGAGAGAAGAAAACATAAGAATTACATATTATCCAACTTCACTCCAGTTGGGAGAGAACGCAGGACCTTATTACTACTGGGCCGCAGCACAACACAAATTTAGTTGGGGTGGGTTCGGTTGGTTTGGGTTAGACTGCCATCAAGAAACTCACGTGAGGTGTGGTTGAGTGTTTAATAATAAAAATTGACATTTGCGAGTTGGTCTTATGGATTGGTCTTATTTATTAATTATGTTGAGTTTTGCTCATATTCATATCTCAATTCAACATCAGAAAATTTATGAAGTTTGTGAGGCCTACTATAAGTCTCGTTTTGATTATCCGAACTATTCATTTAATAAAACTCTCGATATATATTATTTATGAAAAAAAATATAGTTCTATCCAATAATCGTAAGTGAGTGGTAGGATTAGTCCCCCCAAATTAGTCGATGTGCGGGTAAATTAGTCCGGACACCTGATTATTTAAAAAAAAAAAAATTATATTCACAATTTCTCTCATATACACCTGATTATTTAAAAAAAAAAAAATTATATTCACAATTTCTCTCATATTTTAACCAGGGTTTTTTCTTTTTCTTTTTTAAATTTTATTTAAAAGACCATTTAATTGATGGTGATATTGATATTGTAAATCTAGCTGTAATTTAAGAATTGATTGTCAAAAATTAGTGGAGGTGTATATAAGTTGGTCCGAATTTTGGTCATAAAATAAAAAAATACTAATAAAAAAAAAAAAAAAAAAAAAACTAAGTAAACCTCATTGATGAAGAGTGGGTTTCCCAATTGTAAGTTTGTAACAGATGTGTGGCTGACTTTAATTTGACAGGGGTTTCCCAATTGTAAATTTGTAACACATGATGTGACTGACTTAATTTGACAGGGGTTTCCCAATTGTAAGTTTGTAACACATGATGTGGTGTGCTTTTATTGACCGTGCATGTGGATTGTATTCTCAGAAGAAAAAAAAAAAATATATATATATATATATATTAAATGTAATGGTGATATATTTTATGTGTTGTTATCTGTTAACAAAAAAGTATAAATGAGATTAAATAAATAATTTTATCTTATATTAAACTAATAAGAGAAAATTACAACAAAGAAAATAATAAAAAAATAAAAAATCTTAGGGTTTTATTTTTATAACAAAATCAATTCTGAATTTTAAATTTTTGTGAATTTAAATTTCAAATATTTTGATTTATTTTCAATCTAAATAGTTTGCCTAATTTTGTTAAGTAAAATTTATAAAAAAAATAATATTTTAATCATTAAACTGAATGAAAAAGAAAATTTTAGACATTTTATATGAATATACATTGGATTTATGGCTAGTTTCAATGATGTGAGAATCACGTGTTTTTGGCTAATTCCAATCATGCCATTGGATCTGGGCTGGATACACACGGACATGAATATATTCGTGACCAGAGTGGTCTTTCCCATCCAAACTTAATACTAACAGAAGTGTTTTTTTTTTTTTGGATAACTGAATATTCGGGCCAACACCTGTTTAAAGTGTCATATCTCGACTAATTTCAGGATTCTAAGCCGATTGACTAGGTAAAGACGCAATGGCCCGCCAATAGCCAACTGGAGGTGGGATTCAAATTTGAGACCTAGAGAGGAGCAAACTCGTAGGTCCCTAGTCCCTTACCCTCAACCAACTGTGCTATCCTTATGGGTTTAACAGAAGTGATTAATTGGACTAAAATGGCAAATGGTCTAAAGTTTAAGGACTAAATTCAATAAATAATTATTTTAGAGACCAAAGTAAGAATGATCCAATATTATAGGAGGCCAAAGTGTAATTTACCCAATCATTTAATCATTTAGTACCCACACAAATACGTATAAACTTAATTTTTATTAGTTTAATCAATAAAACCCACCACTATTATTTTAATTTTTAGGATACATTAAGTTTTTTACCTACTTTTTTAGTCAAATAGCCAAAAAGTTACTAAATTAGTCTGTTCCCAAACGAGGCCTTAATACTAACAGAAGTGGTTTTTTTTTTTTTGGATAACTGAATATTCGGGCCAACACCTGTTTAAAGTGTCATATCTCGACTAATTTCAGGATTCTAAGCCGATTGACTAGGTAAAGAAATAAAGAGGTACACTCTCCGTTATATAGGAGAGAACATTACAAACATCATCATGCCAAAAGTGGATCCACTAACCGAAAGTAAATGCACTAATCTAAAGCCTAAAGCACTAACATAAAATATATTAACATGGATAACTGAATATCCGGACCAACACCCCTTTAAAGTGTCACATCTTGACTAATTTTGAGATTCTGAGCCGATCGATCAGGTAAAGACGCAATGGCCCGCAAATAGCCAACTGGAGGTGGGATTCAAATTTGAGACCTAGAGAGGAGCAAACTCCTAGGTCCCTAATCCCTTACCCTCAACCAACTGGGCTACCCTTATGGGTTTAACTGAAGTGATTAATTGGACCAAAATGGCAAATGGCCTAAAGTTTAAGGACTAAATTCAATAAATAATTATTTTAGAGACCAAAGTAAGAATGACAATATTGTAGGAGGCCAAAGTGTAATTTACCCAATCATTTAATCATTTAGTACCCACACAAATACATATAAACTTAATTTTTATTAGTTTAATCAATAAAACCCACCACTATTATATTAATTTTTAGGATACATTACAAATACATCTCTGAAGATTTATTTAAAATAGGAATTATTTTTTATAATTTTAAAAATTACATTTCGTCCCTTCAAATTTCTGATTGTATAACAAATTATCTATTTTATTAATAAATATCAAGTCAGTTCACAATTCAAGTAATTTCATTGTTATATAGGAGAACAATTATAATTTTTTTTTTTTGGTTAAATAAATCTTTTTGACAATAATATATTTATAATTTTTAAAATTGTAAGAGACTATTTATATTTTAAATAAATTTGAGAAATTACTAGACAACATGACATATGTTACAACATTAGTGTAAAATATTGCTACAAAAGCAACAAACAATTCCATGTAAGGATGCCTCACAACAAGTCCACCTTCTCACAAAATTTCCCTATAAATAACCAATGTCCTACAAAACAGTCATAAGCCAACTACAAGTCCAAGCAATGGCCAAAGTCATACTACCAGTTCTTCTCCTAGTCATATGCCACAGCTCAACCCATCTCCTAGCTGATCACCCCATTGCAGCCCGGTGGGTGCCTCCCGGCGCTGCCCGACAGTTCGTAGACGCACACAACTCCGCTCGAGCGGAAGTCGGAGTCGACCCTCTGAAATGGAGCTACAGTCTGGCCAACGCCGCATCCAGGCTCGTCCGCTACCAAAAAAACTACATGCATTGCGCGTTCGCCGACATGACGGGTCAGCTGCAGTACGGCAGCAACCAAATGTGGAGCGATTACTCAGCGAAGCCGCCGCGTGAGGTGGTGGAATACTGGGTGAATAGTGGGAAGAAACACTATAGATATACGCACAACTATTGTGTGAGGAATCAGAATTGTGGGCCTTATAAGCAGGTGGTGTGGGAGAAGACGGAGATGGTGGGTTGTGCACAAGGTGTGTGCGGGAACAACAATGGGAGTCTTAGCATATGCTTTTACTATCCTCATCCTGGAAATCTGGGAGGACAACGCCCTTACTGATCAAGAGTGTTTTCGTATGTATGTATGGGTGTGTGTGCGTGTGCGTGTGTGTGGCAACCATGTTGTCAACCTTAAAAAGCCATGTACCATGTATGTTGTCATGGAGAATAATAACTGAAATAAATGAATGTTAGTACGAATGTTTAATAGATTAAAAAAATAATAATTCTGTTTTTCGTGGTATATGAAGTCATGCATGCATGCTTCCAAGGGAGTAAGAATCCTTTAGAGTGATTTTTTTTTAAGGTTTCCTAGACTGTTACATTGTGTGGTTGAGATTTACTGGCAAATCACATCAATTTTTCTGATGTGACTTACCAGTAAATCTCAACCACACAATGTAGTACTCTAGGAAACTTTAGGAAAATTTCACTCTAGAGGATCCTTGGTGAGAGGAGAAATCCTAATGGCATAAATTATTTTTCAAAAATAATTATATATTCATAAAATTTCTCATGAATATGTGATTATTTTTGAATTTGTAATTTTCCCAAAATTATATGAGCAGTCCATATGTAGTCTTTTCGTCACTTGTCATTAAAATTTTAAATAAAAAAAAATTGTGCAAAACTAGAAAGATCAAAGTGAAATTTTAAAAAATCTTTAAAATGTTAACCATGCATAACAGAGGGATCATGTTGTGATAAAATTAAAAGTATATGGTTCAAATTAAAACTATGAAGACCAAAATGAAATTTCACTAAAATTAGAAGGATTAGTGATGTAATTTACCGTTATAACGCAAAACATTATTTATTTAAAAAAATGGTAAAATTCAATGAAAAAGGATTTCCTCCCCATCTGATTTGTTGGAGTCCCTTAGCCTCCATAGGGCTAATTAATCACTAGTCCCGAAATACTAATAGGAATTGTAGAATAAAACACCAATCTACTCTTACAATTCATTCTTCTAAATCACTTGTTCATGAAACGTGTGTATAGACTTCTTCAAATTGAATAAGCATAATTCATGAATAAGTATTTCGTAATGTGTGGATTCGTGGACCTTACATTAATTGGACTTTAATGTGGAGTGTCGTAGCACCCCCTTGGCTTTTTGAATCCGGATCTTCCGTCGCCCTTTCTTGCGGCCAAATCCTGTCGCCCTTCAAAACGACGTCGTTTTGGAGGAATTTTTTTTTCTTTTTTCTTTACTTCTTCTTTTCTCTCTCACTGATAACTCTCCCTCTCTCCTCATTACAATCATCGACCCAAATCATCGACCCAAAAAAAAAACGCAGCAGATTTGTTTGCCTTGAGGCTCTATTCTGTAAATTTGATTATAAAAAAAACGCAGCAGATTTGTAATTTGCAGAACAAATTTACAATCATCGACCCAACTTCAAGCAAACCCTCAATTTCATTCAGAGTTCTGCAAATTTGTTTTTTATTTTTTGAAACAAACAAAGTGGGTTTGCTTGAAGTTGTTGTCAAGCCTTTGATTCAGAGTTTTTCAGCTTCCATGGCTCTTCTTCCCCCCTTTTGTTTTTTTTTTTTTTTTTGGTTCAAATTTGAAATCTGATTTTTTTTTTACAGATTTACTCACAGATCTGTATTGAAAAATACCAGGAAAAAAAAAAGAAAGAAAAAAACGAAGGAGAGGGAGAGAAAGAAAGCTAAGAACAGAGCCTACCCAAGATTTGACTTTGCCTTGAGGCTTTCATACCCAAAATAATCATCTGTGACTTCGAGGGTTCTACAGGTATTGCTTCAGAAGTTTAAAAACAAAGAAAGAAAGAAAAGATTTGATTATTGAATTGGGTTGGGTTGCTTTTGACCAGAACCTTTTTCATTTTTTGACGGTTTGATCCCTTTACTTTTTTCATTTCTTGACTTGATCAATCTAACTGTACAATTCATGAACTGATCGAGCGAGGCGGAGATTAAGGAATAAGAGGAGTTTCGGTTTTTTTTTTTTTTTTTCAGATTTGAAATCTAATTTTTTTTTTTACAGATTTACTCACAGATCTGTATTGAAAATATCAATTAAAAAAAAATGTGATACTGAACTGAAATGTTGAGGGGAACAATCAATGAAGTGTTTTGAGGGAGAGAGAGAGAGAGAGAGAGTTATCAATGAGAAGAGAGAAGAAGTTGTTGGTTCAGATGTTCAGTGTTTGATTCATGAATTTTTTATTTCAATCTGTTGCATACCCCAGTGAGGTGTCGCGCCCCCACTGGCCGAAACCCAAAAAAAAAAAAAAAAAAAAAACAGTTTTTTTTTGTCCAATATTGGACTGCCACTCACTGGGGGTCGACCCCAGTGGGTGTATGAGCCATTTTCCTTTTATTTTTATTTTTTTGAAACACACATAGTTCTGCAAATATTGGGTTTGATTTTTTCCTGGTTGTGGGTTTTGTAATGTTATCTTTGGTGTTGACTATTTGGATTTGGATCTAAATCTAAAAGGTTGCTGATAATGAGAGAGTGAAATATATATATATATATATTATAATGTGTGTGTGTGTGTGTGTGTATTATACATAGGTATCTGCCATTGTTGAATATTTGGATTTGTGTGTGTGTGTGTGAGAGGAGAGAGAGAGAGAGAGAGAGAGAGAGGAGAAAGGAGAGAGAGAGAGAGAGAGAGAGAGAGAGAGAAAGAGAGAGATGGATAACAGAGGAAGACAAACTTCATTTGAGGGAGACGTGAGGTTGTTGTTTCTGAGTTTGATTTTGGTCCCCTCCTCCTTCCCCTCTCTCTTCTTCATCACAGTGAGAAGAAGAAATCACAGTGAGAAGAAGAAAAAAAATTCTCCAAAACGACGTCGTTTTGGAGGGCGACAGGATTTGGCCGCATGGAAAGGGCGACAGAGGATTCGGATTGTGGCTGTTTATGTGAAAACAGAAAAATGTTAGAGACTCACTATAGGTCCCATGTAGGTCCCAAATATTTTATTAAATATTCTATCGAATATCTTACATTGGTGTGAGACTTATATTATGTGGGTGAGATTCATATCATGTGGGTCTCATATGAATTCTATATCCATGTGAGATATTTGATAAAATATTTAAGATACCTAACATTACTCGTGAAAAGAATCTACTTTCGCTGTGTTGGAATCTCTCAATAGTTAGTTGTGATCAAATATGATTGACTATGATTAATTGAAGAAAAAGAAAATATTTATTTGAAAATTTTCTAATATTCAATTTTTTTTTTAAGGATTAGTATTTTTTTTTATTATTATTATTATTTAATTTTGTTAGAAGTAGGAAGTAGGTGAAATAGAATATATAGTATGCTTCTTTTCCGCTGTTGGATTTCCTTTGGTGCAATTTTGGAGAGCAATTTTATTGATTATTTTGATTCACATGTAAATTATTTGTTGTGCAAAAGTCAGCTATCCAAACTAACTATTTCATTATTTCAAAATTTGAAAAGATGTGATGAAATTAAATTGACATTATTAAATATTTTACTAATTTTTCATTAACCTTTTAGCATTTTCTAAAATTGTCAAATACATGTTGAGATTGATAACAATATGTTGGTGAAAATACCAGAAAAAATTATATTTTATTGATAAATGATGTAAAGAAAATGAGATACAAATAATTCAGGCTGAGGCACGGATATCTCGTTTTCTTTAAGGAGATCAAGCCCACTGCGGTAAGAAGAACCCTAATACCGATGCAGCAGTCACAAAACTATGACTTGTCCCCTCCAGAATACAACAGCCCGACCACTTGTCGTATGGTTCAGGCCAACTCTGCATAAGATGGTGAACCCAAACTCCACCAAGAAAAACACCCTTCTTTGCTAGTAATCTCTCTTGTATAGAAAATAGTTGATGTGTTAGTGGTGTAGAAAATAGTTGTTGTGTTAGTGGTGCAGAAAAGAATAGATGAGAGGGATTATATATAGGCCACTAGGACCTTACAGTTACACCAAAAAATAATGACCATTAAATAAGAGAAAATGGTTACACCAAAATAATGACCATTAATCAAGTTCATGAATTCTATTTAATTTCTATTTATGACCAAGAAGTTACCAAAGTAATGAAATTCCATTTATAAAAAAGATAAATCAATAAATAAATATAAGATATTAAAATGATCCAACACAATAAATATCTTTTAGAATAACCTTATAGAAATTGAGTTGTAATTGGAGGATTATAATCCACTGATTAGAATGGAATATGTGAACATATACAGGGATACTTGTTTAACATCTCGAATGAAATTTTTGTTTTGTCCTTACCAAATAATATTTTTCATTTAGTTTTTTGAAAGAGGGAGAAAAAAGCGAGATATGGTTTTAAGAACACCAAAGCTCCGTTTAACAAGTTGATTTATGATTAAAATAGTCATAAAAAATAAAATAAATTATTTTAATCACAATAAATAAAATATCACATTTAATTCATAATCATTACACTTTTTTCTCACAAAAAAAATAAAAATAAAAAATCTTTTTTCAATTAAATTTTTTAATCTAAATTAAAATAATTAAAAAACTAACCCGCTTCTCAAACCGGGCCAAGTAATATTTTTCATTCTCGATCAATAATAGCGGTTTATAATAAATTAAATAAAAATAAAACAAAATTGATCGCGCATCAAAGCAGCGATTTGGCAGCATACTCTGACAAGAAAACTGCCCTCTTTCCTGACAAATCAGCGTTGTCACGTGCTCCTACATGGCTGACTCTGTCGGTATTCATTAATTAGGCTAGGTTTGGCGTTCTTTACAGAAAGTCAAAAAAAATAATTATTCTATTCGACAATGTTAGGTACTTTAAATTTTTGTGATTCAAATGACTCAAATCTATTAAAATGACGTCGTTTTGACAGATTTTGAGTGTAAAACGACGTCGTTTTGACATATTTGAGCCATTTGAGTCATAAAAATTTGAACTACCAAACATTTTCCTATTCTATTATATCACTTCTCTATCATATCACTTTAAACTCAATTCATATTTTATAAAAAATCAAATTATATATTTATTTTGAACATCTCAAACAATCTCTTAACCAACATTACGCACTATTTATAATTTTAGAACAACATGACACACTATTTGTAAGATGATAATTTTATTATTTTAACCAATCAAAATTATGTTAAAAATAATTAAGTTCATTTATCTTAACATTATCAAATAATTTTATTTTAATATTTTCAATTAAGTCCTTAGAACTTAATAATTTTATTAAAATCATACTTTAATTTCTCATTAAATTTTAAAATAATATTATGAGATTAGATCTAATTGTAACTTATCTTAAAATTTAAAAATTAACTAAAACAAATAAAAGATTAGGAGATAAAAAAAATTAAAATACAAAATACAAAATGAAATTTGCTCTATAAATAAGGCACTCTCTCAACCATACATAGCACACGCATAGAAGGAACATGGCTGAGATCATACTAGCACTAGTGGTGGGTCTAGCCCTATCCCAAACCACCTCACACGGCGCAGCAGCAGCACCACCACCACCACCAAACACCACCGTCGACTTCCTGGAGCCCCACAACCAAGCAAGAGCAGAAGTGGGGGTGGAGCCTCTGAAATGGAGCGAGAAGCTAGCCAACGGAACGAGCCTACTGGTCCGGTACCAGAGAAACAAGATGGGCTGCAACTTCGCCAACCTGACAGGGAGCAAGTACGGGGGGAACCAGTTGTGGGCGAGTGCGTCGGCGGGTGTGACGCCGCGAGAGGCCGTGGAGGCGTGGGTGGCGGAGAAGAAGTATTATGATTATGGGAATAATTCGTGTACGGCGGCGGAGCACAAGTGTGGGGTGTATACGCAGGTGGTGTGGAGGAAGACAGTGGAGGTGGGTTGTGCACAAGCCAGGTGTGTGAAGGAAGACGCTAGTTTGACTGTTTGTTTTTATAATCCTCCTGGTAATGTTATTGGTGAGAGTCCTTATTAGAGAGAGAGAGAGAGAGAGAGAGAGAATGAATGATGTTGTGTTGAACACACACCAAAAATCTTATTAATATTATCGAAATCACCAGATCTTTTACAATATTTAGCATGTATAGTTGCAAATATTTATCAAGAGTTGGTGATTATGGTCTATCAATATTTCAGTGATTATGGCCATGTGTTTATTTTTATTTTCATTTTTTTCCTAGAGGAACCTTTGAGTAGAGTAACATATTGGTTCCATCTTGGAAATACAGCGGTGCTACAGATTCATAAAATATTATTTAAAATTTATTTAGAATTTGTAATAGAGCAATACTAGGTATCATGAAAAAAAATTTATGAAAATAATCATGAAAAATTTATGATCCTTATTACACTTAAAATAAAACACCACGTACTAATCAAGGTAATCTAAAGATCATAATTCTTTCATGATCTTTTTCATGAAAATTTTTTCATAATTCCTAACTTTTCTCTTTGTAATATGTGATTTAAATTGATTCTCTTTCCATCCATATACATGCATTGGTAATTTAGTTAAAAAGTCATTAAAATAAATAAAAAAAATCATTCAAAAATATCAAAGATTCCTTAGTATGCCCTGTACCTTCTGCAAAAAAAAATTTTAGAAAGTCAAAACAATAATTTCTAAACAATTTTCAACTCATATTTTAGCAAAGAAAAAAAAGACTAAAAAAAGTACTAAAAGATCACTTCTCAAACCAATTCATAATTTCATTTCTTATATCATCTTCTCATTCCTAAACAGAAAGCAGCAGACCTGTACGAATAAGGGTTGGTTTGGAAAGTGGATTGCTTTTTGATATTTTTGGTTATTTTAATCTGGGTTAAAAAGTTTGATTTGAGAAGGATTTATTAACTTTTTAATTTTTTTGATTTTTTTTGTAAGAGAAGACCGTAATGATTATGAGTTGGATGTAATTTTTTATTTATTGTGACTAAAAAAACTTATTTTATCTTTTATGATTAAAATAACTAAAAAAATTCACAAAATCACTTCCCGGTGCTTAAATATACACGTGACTCACTCACAAGCTTGTGTTTAGGAGTGAGAAAATAAGCTCAAAAAATAGATTATAGGTATTAATAGCTAGAAGAGAAGTGATCCCTTTTTAGTATATTTTGTGATTTTTATTTAAAAAAAGTATAACTTAGGGGTGGTCTTGCATAAACTAATAAGCACATATTTTTTTATTGTTTTAGAGTATATCACTTCTTTATTTTTTTACATATTTTTTATAAAAAATTAAAAAGTATATTTATTTAAATCATTTCAAATCACCTTTTAATATGTTAATCTAAACTGATGTGCTAAGTTACATGTTGTTCATGCTTATTTAGTAATTTTGAAATATTACGCCACATTAGTGGAAAATTTTAGAGAGCTTTTTTGATAAATTTCCTTTTTAAAAGTTTTATTCTATTCAATTTATATTCTTTTTTACTATTCTATTAGGTCCTATTTGAGGTAAGAAGACCAAAATATCCTAAATCTCTCATGTCCCCATTAATGTTGATATTTAATATTGATTGTCATTATATCTTTACTTCAAAAAATTACATTAATTACACATCACTATTTAATGTTGATATATATTATACAAAAAAAAATTAAACATGGTTCTTTATTGATTGTTATTATGTTTCGGTAATTCCCATACATCCAAATGTTGACTGCACGTGATGACGTAAATGTTCACATCAGATGACGTGAATGTAAATGTTCACATCACGTGACATTGTGATAAAGGTGATGTTAAGGTTTACATCAGTATTGCATCAAATTACACAATCATAAGCCTCAACTTTCATTTGAATATAAGCATGACATGTGTGATACCCCTGTTCTGTATTATGCCAAGTTGGTCCTTAATTTGTTTATGGTTATGTGTTTAGCGGGATTTTGTGTGCCATTATGTGATAATATGTGATTTTGAATTCGTATCTGTTCACCGTAGAATTATCTGTTTGGAATAATTTTGTAAAACAAACATGCATAACATATATCCAATCTTATATATCAAGTCAACAAACATGACTTGGGGGATATACTATCCAATACTTATATCCTATTCATTATATATCCTGACTAAATCCCACATCATATTATATCCTCCATTTTATATCCAACGAAACAAACGGGGCCTAAGTAGCTAGAAGAGAAGTGGTCCCTTTATAATATATTGAGCCTCCGTTTGGGAAGTGGGTTGGCTTTTTGGCTTTTTGGCTTTTTTGGCTATTTTAGCCTGGGCTTAAAAGCTTGGTTTGGGAAAGGCTTTTTGACTTTTTGGCTTTTTTGAGTTTTTTTGTGAGAGAAAAATGTAATGATTATGGGTTGGATGTGATGTTTTGTTTGTTATGGCTAAAATAGCCTATTTTGTCTTTTGTGGCTAAAATAGCCAAAAAAGCCCAAGAACCAACTTGCCAAACAGAGGCTGAAAAATGCTTGGGAGCACTAATTAGTGCTCCCACTAATTAGGTGGCAGTGGGTCTCGTCATTAATGATGTGATGTTTTGGTCTTGGAATTGTATTTTTATTTTTATTTTTTACTTTTTTAATGCATTAGTGCTATTAGTGGTGATATTTTTAGTGGGATGAATCATTGTTGTAATATATTTTGTGATTTTTCATTTAAAAAAGTATAACTTAGGGGTGGTTTGGCATAAACCAATAAGCATATATATATATATATATATATATATTTTAGATTATATCACTTTTTTATTTTTTTACATATTTTTTCATAAAAAATTAAAAAATACATTTATTTAGATCATTCCAAATTATCTTTTAATATGTTCATTTGATGTGCTAAGTTACATTTTGTTCATGCTTATTTAGTAATTTTGAAATATCACGCCACATTAGTGGAAAATTTTAGAGAGCTTTTTTGATAAATTTTCTTTTCAAAAGTTTTATTCTATTCAATTTATATTCTTTTTAACTATTCTATTAGGTCCTATTTGAGGTAAGAAGACCAAAATATCTTAAATCTCTCATGTCCCCATTAATATTGATATTTAGTATTGATTGTCATTATATCTTCACTCTAAAAAATTACATTAATTACACATCACAATTTAATTTTGATATAACTTACACACAAAAAAATTAAACATGGTTATTGTGTTTGGTAACGTTTACGTTTTCAGTTTATATTTACAAAAATTTTATAAACTGGTTTTTGTTTATTTTTTGTTTATTTTTAGAAAAACATAAACTACAAAGGTGTTTGGTAATTGACAAAATGTTTAAAAAAATTTAAAAATATAAAAAGAGTGAGAAATGACAAGTGGCGGCAAGTGACGGCGGAAGACGGTGGTGGAAAGTGGTGACGGTGGGTGGTGGGTAGCTGGTGGTGGTGGCAGGTGGGTGGTGGTGGTTGGTGGGTGGGTGACGGTGGCGGGTGGTGGGTGGTAGTGAGTGAATCCACAAGCCGATCACTGTGAGTAATATCGATATTTGAATGATTGTGAATGACCAATTATTACTCCCTTATATGCTTTGTAAGTTGCTAATTGGGATTGTGGACAAAAGTCTGACAGGGATAAACATAAATGGACCGAAAGTCGTTTTAATAGAAATAAATGGACCTAAGGTCATTTTGACATGAATGAGTGGGCCGAAGGCCGTTTTGATACGAATGTATGGGCCGAAGGCCGTTTGACATAAACGAGTAGACCGAAGGTCGTTTCGATATGAATAAATGGACTGAAGGTCGTTTGATGTAAATGAATGGACCAAAGGTCGTTTTGATATAATTGAATGGACCGAAGGTCGTTTTGATGTAAATGAATGGACCAAAGGTCGTTTTGATATAAATGAAATGACCGAAGGTCGTTTTGATGTAAATGAATGGACCAAAGGTCGTTTTGATATAAATGAAGGGACCGAAGGTCGTTTCGATATAAACGAATGGACCAAAGGTCGTTTTGACATATGTGAGTGGGCCGAAGGCCATTTTGACATGAACGAGTGGGCCAAAGGCCGTTTTGACATAAATGAATGGGTCGAAGGCCATTTTGACAGAAATGAATGGGCCGAAGGCCGTTTCGACATAAGTGAATGGGCCGAAGGCCGTTTCAACATAAGTGAATGGGCCGAAGGCCGTTTCAACATAAGTGAATGGGCCGAAGGCCGTTTTGCCATAAATGGAAACCCGAATGGGCCAAGGGCTAGAATGTTTGGAACTACAGTTACTTGATTTGCATTTCGTATAGTTATATATATCTGTTAAATAGAAGTATGAATTGGGTCCAAGGCCGTTTGGAACATGTTGTTCTACATTGTTATGTAACTTCTGTATTTGATTTGATATTATTCACTGGGCTATCGCTCACGCTCATTCATGTGTTTGTAGGTGAGCCAAGAGAAGTCCAGACCCAGTCTCAGTGAAGTCTGTATAGAACAACTAAGGTTTTGAGAGAGTCAGCCCTTGTATCTCACGCACGAGACCCGTCTTCGCCCTTTTGTTATGTATTTACATTTTGTCAGGTTGGCGAAGTTTTGTATATGTCTACTTATGGTTTTATGGGTTGACTTAGTTTTGGATGATCCTGTCTGTATAGAACCTATGTCGCTATGTTTCTGTTGTGAGTTATTAACGGACATATGTATGGTTTGTTTTGATGTGCCATGTAACCACAGCTCTATGGACAAAACTTTTAAATTTTGCTTCCCTTTTGGCCCCTTTACTCTGATGTGTTAAGTCTGTTTTGGTTTGAGGCCGTAGGTAATCTTAGGATTACTGGCCGGTTACGTCCTTAACCCATGGGGGCGGGTACGGGTCGTGACAACATGAATGTTCACACTAAAATATATGAATGTGAATGTTCACATGAATTCTGGAATATAAATTTTAACATTATGAGCATTAACATTTGTGTTCACATTTATATGTTTTAGTATGTACATTCACTCATCTGATATTAACATTATGAACATTAACATTTGTATTCACATTCATATGTTTTAGTGTGAACATTCATGTCATTTGATGTCAGCATTCACATTCGCGTCATCTGATGTGGACATTCACGTCATCACGTACAGTCAACATTTGGATACATGAGAACTACCAAAACATAATGACAATCAATAAAGAACCATGTTTAATTTTTTGTGTGTTGTATATTAATATTAA